TCTTCTTTCCTTGTCTTTCTTTCCCTCTTTTCCTCCATTCCTTTTTTCTTTCCCTCTTTCTCTTTCTTTCTTTCTTTCTTTCTTTCTTTCTTTCTTTCTTTCTTTCTTTCTTTCTTTCTTTCTTTCTTTCTTTCTTTCTTTCTTTCTTTACAGATCTGCCCCCCCCCAATAGCTAGCAATCAAAAAGAGTCCAGTGGCACCTTTAAGACCAAGGTTTATTCAGGTACAAGCTCTCCCTACTCTGTGAGGGCAGATCTGTGACCACACTTCTGGTAACATGGGGATGTGGCCTAATATGTAAATGAGATGCATTGTCAGGGGTGTGGCCTAATATGCTAATGAGTTTCTGTTGTTGGGTGTGGCCTTTTAGGCTAATGATTTCCTGCTGGGCTTTTTCTACAAAAAGAGCCCTGACAGCAACCTGTAGGCATTTGCTAGACTCCCTGAAGTTGACCACTGATCCATCAGTAAGCCTTTTTCCTTTTCTTCTTGGGTTTAATTATTTCTTTAAAAATATGGCTTTGTGGGGCGATCTGCGTTGCCTGTCCTAGGCACAGTCCCCGACATCTCCAGCTAAAAGGATCAGATAGCAGATGATGCGAAAGACCTCTACCTTAGTCCTTGGAGAGCCACTGTCAGTCAGAGTATCCAGTACTAATTTTGATGGAGCAGTGGTCTGACACACTACAAGTTATCAGCTTCACAGGGAGACCAAAAGGATAGAAATTGGAAATCAGCTGTGAGGCTTTTGGGAGCTATTTCATGGATAAAATCCTGTCAATCCGCCAAAACATGCCAGCCACCGTTGATAAGAGTATGTGAACAGGAGGCCCCTTGGCCGTCGTCCAGTCCAATATTAGACCAGTTCAGCCAACTTTCCCAGGACGAGGTTGACAGGATCCTGGAGTGTGTGAAGCCCACCACTTGCATCCTTGACCCGTGTCCATCGTGGCTGGTGAAAGCTGGAAGCGATGAAATACAGATACCCTGGGAGAGATCATCAACTTGTCCCTTAGTTCAGGGATCTTCCCAGGGTTGTTAAAGGAGGCAGTGGTGAGGCCGTTCTTGAAAAAAACATCCTTGGATCCTACCAACCCAGCCAACTACTGCCCTGTGTCAAACCTTTCGTTCCTGGGTAAGGTAGTTGAGAGAGTGGTAGCAGAGCAGCTCCAGGCTTTCCTGATGACTGTTCTGCCCTGAACCCTTTCCACTCCAGCTTCCACCTTGGCTACGGGATGGAGACCATGGTGGTTACCCTCACAGATGACCTCTGCAGACACCTGGATTGGGGCGGGTCAGCGCTGCTGTTATTACTCGATTATCCTCACTGATGTGAGGATAAGAGGGACCGCTTTACAGTGGCTAGTCTCCTTTCTCCATGGTCAGGGACAGCAGAGAGTGGCACTTGAGGAGATGGTCTCACTGCACCACCCATTGGTGCGTGGTGTCCCTCAAAGCAAAGTCTCTAGAAGTCCAAATCATGTCTATTCTTGAAAAAGATCTATTTCTTTCTGAGAAATAATGTTACTCTCTTGAGCTACCGTTTTTCTGTTAAAGTAGTCTTCTGTTGCACAGTTATTCCATTTAATGCTGTTAATGCAGTTCTAGATCAAAAACCATCTGCAGCATAAGAAAATCAGGGTAGCCCGAGATCTTTCACTATTTGTTGCTTGATTGTTGGCTAGAAGAATAAACACCTGGTACAGTGAAATTGTATTGGGGTTTTCTTTCTTAGCTGAAAACATAACGAGATTTGATTTGTAGGGGAAACAAACAGATCTGTCAGTTCATGTCCTCTAATGTAGTTGAATCTTCTTGAAAGATTATTCCAGTCCCAAAGTAGTATATTAGCCCATAACTTTAAAATTGGGTAGTGTTGACTTGGGCAAATATTCATTGATTTTTCTCCCTGTAAATCATTTTATTTAATGGGTATTTTCATTTTTATCCATATTTTCATCAATCTACAGTTTAAAAACAATATGTTGGCCACAGGCTACATTAAATCTCATCATCCTTACTCTTTGAAGAAATACAGAGTGCAGAGTAGCCAATCAGAATTGTATGCTTGGACATGTTGACCTACTTGACAGAACGCAATACTGTTTCCTTGGTTTCTTATCCACATATCTCTCTGAACCCAAAGTTTAAAGGTGTAATTATAGCACGTTCAAAGCCCAACCTGCACAAAGAGTGATTTGGGTTTTTTTGTTTCTGTTTTGGGGGGAGGCCATGATGTAAAAGCCACTTCTCCAGAAGAAGTGCTTGAGATGATTCACAGCAATATCATTAAAAAGAACAATTACATTATAACAGTAACAAACTTATTTAGCAGTAAAACAAATCACCCTAGTAGCAATATAGCAGCTAACAGTACATCAGCATAAGAATCCTGCACAGTCCATAAAAACACAATCAAAATTGTCATCTGGAGGAAAGGTAAAATAGTGCAAGACATAGATGTTCATACTAACATGCTGAAATAGCCAAATGGAAGTTGAGGTTTACAAGATTTTGCATGGGACAGAGCAGGTAGAGAAAGAAGTACTTTTCTCCCTTTCTCACAATACAAGAACTCATTAGCACTCAATGAAATCGCTGAGCGGTCTGGTTAGAATGGATAAAAGGGAAGTACTTTTTCACCCAAAGAGTGATTAACACATGGGATTCACTGCCACAGGAGGTGGTGGCAACTACAAGCATGGACGGCTTCAAGAGGGAATTGGATAAACATACGGAGCAGAGGTCCATCAGTGGCTATTAGCCACAAGGTATAGATAGGGACTCTGGGTCTGGAGCAAGTGATACTCTGTATTCTTGGTGCTTGGGGGGGGGGCAACACTAGGAGTGTCCTGCCCCCACTGGTGGATCTCCTGATGGCACCTGGTATTTTTGGCCACTGCGTGACAGAGTGTTGGACTGGATGGGCCATTGGCCTGATCCAGCATTGGCTTCTCTTAGGTTCTTATGTTATGTACCCTGGTCCCAAACGATGCAGGTCTTCAAAGGAAAGGACCAGCATGCCAATGTTGTATAGTGGTTTAAGTGTTGAACGAGGTCCTGGGGAACCCAGGTTCAGATTTTCACTCTACAGTGGAAACTTGGTGGATGACCTTGGGTCAGTCACTCGCTCTCACCCTGGTTTATCTCTCAGTCACTGGGGAGAAAAGTGGGGTACAGATAGCTAAAATATTTTGGGACTGTTCTGGGAAGCAGATAGAAGTCAAAGCAGATTTCAATACAAGAGACAGATAATCCTAATCTCCAACTGCATTCTCACTGTCAGATTTTGAACTAATTTAAGCTTCTGGACAGTCTTCAGTGATAACTTTACTTACAGTGTACTTAAGTAATCTTACCTGGATATAATCATGGATTAAAATGGCCAAAACATGTTCATCCAAGGATATTTATTGGAAGTAAGTTCTAGACTAATGAAGGAAAGTAATAGCAGTACTCAGTACACAGCTAATGTACAGAAGTTGCTGACCCAAGGTATGGTGAAGGTTTTTGAAAGAATTAGATATGTAGATGATAGGCCCTGAATTGCCATTAAATTGTCTTAGCTCAATAGAACTTCTGTGTATAGAGAGATCTGGATGCCAGGTACTGGGGACAGCAGGCAGTCTGTTTCATGCCTTGCTTGCATATCTCCCGATAGGATCTGGCCAGTTGCTTCTGAAACAGAAATAACACTGTAGGTAGACCTTGGTTTACTTCAGCACAGAAATTCTTAAGTTCCTTTAAACTGTCATTGCAATATAGAATGTTTGGTTGTTTTTTTTCCTTATTGCATATGCAGGTGATAAACATGGATGGTACCATGAGAAAAACGCTCATAGAAGATAAGCTTCCACATATATTTGGGTTTACTTTGCTTGGCGACTACATCTATTGGACAGACTGGCAGAGGCGAAGCATTGAAAGAGTTCATAAAATCCGAGCAAGCAGGGACATCATCATTGATCAGTTGCCAGACTTGATGGGCCTTAAAGCAGCAAGTGTCACCAAAGCAGCTGGTAAGCAAAAGGGAACATGAAAGCAATAGGGTTGCCAGGTCTGGGTTGGAAAATACCTGGGGACTTTGGGGGTGGATCCGAGAGAGTGCGGGGTTTGGGGAGGGGAGGGGCCTCAGCATGGTACAATGCCATAGAGTCCACCCTTCAAAGCAGCCATTTTCTCCAGAGAGCCAGTTTGGTGTAGTGGTTAAGTGCGCGGACTCTAATCTGGGAGAACCGGGTTTGATTCCCCACTCCTCCACTTGTACCTGCTGATGTGACCTTGGGTCAGTCACAAGCTCTGGCACAGCTGTCCTTGAAAAAGAGCAGTTTGTGTCAGAGTTCTCTCAGCCCCACCCCCCTCACGGGGTGTCTGTTGTGGGGAGGGGAAGGGAAAGGAGTTTGTAAGCCGCTCTGAGACTGCAAGTGAAGGGCAGGGTATAAATCCAATCTCTTCTTCTTCTTCTTCTTCTTCTTCTCCAGGGGAGCTGATCTCTGTCAGCTGGAGATCAGTTGTAAAAGCAGGAGATCTCCAGGCCCCACCTGGAGGCTGGCAACCCTAGAAATTGATTTGCAACATTTCAAAACTGTTTTCATTACAAAGTGATAGTGTCTACCCTTCTTACTGAAAAAGATCCTGAATGTTTAGCAGGCTGTTAAATGGAAAAATCACAGCTAAATTTGTCATACTGGAAAGTGCCAAGAGAATCACCAACTATCCAAATTGTTCTTTTCTGAATTGTGGCTTAAAACTGGTGCCTGTGAGGAATTCTAAAGGGGGAGGGGGAGTAGGTCGAATGTGGTAGTTAGGGTTTGTTTTGAAAAATGAGATTTAAGCTCTGGTTATGTATTCTGAACCTTGACTATCAAAGTACCAGATTTAGAGCATGTTGTTTTCATTCCTCTTCATTTTTGGTATTTCGTCTCCCAAAAAAATCTTCCATCATATGCATATCTATCAGTATGTGATAACCTTCTGTCTGACTAGGTTAGATGCTAATCCTTCTGAGGTTTGCCAGGGTAGATTTATGAATATCCTGTAATCTTCTTCGTGGTCTCTGTGCATCACACCTCTGGGATATAGTGCGCCTGCGCCGACCCCGATCGGTAACATAGAAAGCGAAAGGGATTTTTGGGCCCTCTCCCCAGTCACGCGCCGGGCTCCACTGCGCATGACTAAGGGAGGGGCACCAGGGCTCTTTTTGTAGAAAAAGCCCAGCAGGAACTCATTAGCATAAAGGCCACACCCAACAGCAAAACTCATTAGCACATTAGGCTACACCCCCATGTTACCAGAACTTATGTAACACCCCCATGTTACCGGACTTATGTTCTGAGGTAAAACATGAGTATTTTGTTGTGCATTTTTCAAATGAGAAGGAAGCATGATTT